GCTCATGGCCACCGTGGGCGCGCCCCGCTTCCCCAGTGCGCTGGGCCTGGTGCTGCTCCTGGAAGCCGTGGCTGTGCTCATCGGACCGCCCACTGCCGGTGCGCCCCGATGCGGAGGGGGTGGCAAGCCTAGCGCCTTTTTGCCCGGGGGGTGCCCCTGCCCTGCCCCAGATGGAGCGTCCTGGGACGAGAGACAGCCTGGTGGGCGGACTCCCCTTTATGGCCAACTAGCGCCGCCCCCAAGCGGGACCACCAGCTCTGGGCGGGGACCGAAAAGCAAGGGAAGGTGCCAGGAGGAAACCAACACCGACAGCTGTGCCCGGGCAGCTGGCACAAAGGCCTTGTGAGGTGCAGGTGCTTATTCTCGTTTCGCAGATGAGGACACCGAGGCACAGAGGCTTAGCACAAGTTGCAGTCTCCGAATTTAATGCCTGGGTGTGCCTGAGGCCAGGTGCCCATGCCTCTGAAACACTGCATCTGGGTGCTTTAGTCTTCCCAGCCTCTAAGGGTGACCAGGATAGGGATGGTGTCTTCCCAGCCTCTAGGGGTGACCAGGATAGGGATGGTGCTGGGACCAGGAGCAGAGTGGAGGTGCTCAGTAGCGGGTGGGGAGGGGAAGCACTGGTGTGGTCCATGGTGCACGTGGCCTACTGGGCACTTTGCTTTCATCGTCACTCTTAGGAAATCACCGTCTTAAGGGAAACTGCCTCATGAGGGAGGTCAGAGAGGGCTTCCTGGCAGAGCCCCCAGATGAGGGCACAGCCTGAACAGGGGCAGGGTTTGTTTGGGGGACAGTGTCCTTTTTTTTTGAGTTGGAGTCTCTGTCACCCAGGCTGGAGTGCAGTGGCATGCTCAGGCCACCGCAGCCTTGACCTGCTGGGCTCCAGCGATCCATCCGCCTCAGCCTTCCAAGTAGTTGGAACTACAGGCGCGTGCTGGGCTAATTTTTGACTTATCGTAGAGACAAGATCTCGCCAAGTTGGGCGGGTCTCAAACCCACGAGCTCAGGCACTTCACTCACCTCGGCCTCCCAAAGTGCTGGGATTACAGGCTGAGCCACCGAGCCTGGCCTAGGGGGAACAGTGTCCTTATGCAAGTGAAGCAGGAACCATTGGAAATGTGGGGGTGGGGTAGGGGTAGGGACGTTAGGGTCTTCCCAGTTTGTCGGTAATGCTGAAACAGCAGGGAGTCAGCCTTTGAGCAGGAGAGGGCTGTGGTCAGGCTGTGAGATGGAGCAATGGTGGGGCCACCTTTGCCAGGGCCTAGGCTGTACCTGAGATGGGGCGATCTCCCTTCCTTCCTCCAGGCTGGGTTGGCGGATGTCCTCATGGAACTTCATCAATTTCACGTGATGCAGTGATAGTGGCAAAGTCCAAGCCAGTGTGCAGGTGGCCCTCAAACCCACCCCCAGAGCCATAAAACCAGCCCAGCTAGAGGCTCAGGACCCATCTTGTGTGGCCCTGGAGTGGACAGAATAGGCAGAGAAGGCGCATGGGGGTGAGAATGTCCTGGAGAGCAGATCCCACAGAGAAACCCAGCTTTAGGGGAAATCTGTAGTTAAGAGGTTGTCGTAAGCTTTAGGGGAAATTTGTAGTTAAGAGCTTGTCCTGAGCATGCAAGTAACACGTGCATGTGATAGAAACTTTGGGAAATACGGAGAAGGAAGCAGGAGCTACTGGCCCACATGCCCTGCCTCCCAGCCTGTGCTGATAGTAGTAGCTCATGGGCCCTGGGGGGGGCGATGGGATGACTGAGCCCAGCCCTTGAAGACCACACATTCACAGGAAAGAGCAAGAGCTGGAGGCCCCTGGGGGACAGAGCTGAGCCCAGGGCCCCCTCTCCACTCCCACCTCAGATACCCCGCACCGAGCAAGTCACAGGACGTTGGTGGGCTTGAATTGGTGGGTGGAGGCGGTGCCTCCTTGAAGGTCCCACATCACTTAGGAATTTGAGGTCCAGGGAGGGCAAGTGACTTTTTTTCGAGTTGGAGTCTTACTCTGTCGCCCAGACTGGAGTGCAGTGGCCACTCCCAGCCACTACAGCCTCCACCTGCTGGGCTCCGGCGATCCTTCCGCCTCAGCCTTCCAAGTAGCTG